GGGTTCGATTCCAGTCAAGGGCATGTACCTTGGTTGTGGGCACATCCCCAGTAGGGAGTGTGCAGGAGGAAGCTGATCGATGTTTCTCTCTCATCGATGTTTCTAACTCCCTATCCCTCTCCCTTTCTCTCTGTAAAAAATCAATAAAATATATTTTTAAAAATGTCTAAAAGTTGCTTTAAAATACTGTATGCTCAGATGTCAAGCCCTGTAACAGGTCCTTTTTATATACAGTTAATCCACATAACAAACTTATGTAGCAGATATTGTTATCCTTCCTTTACAAAAGTGCTAACAGATTTAGGGAGAATAAATAACTTGTCCTTGATCATGTGGATCATTAGTAACAGAACCAAGACCCCAAGCCTGTTGGAATTCAAGGTCCACATTTTCCCCTTCAAAATCATCTATACTAATAAAAGGGTAATACGCTAATTAGACTGAACATCTTCCGGATGACCCTCCGGACATCCTTCCGGACAAAGCCATGGTGGCGAGGCAGAGGCAGTTAGGGGTGATCAGGCTGGCAGGGGAGAACAGTTAGGGGGATCAGTCCTGCAGGCAGGTGAGTGGTTAGGAGCCAGCGGTCCCAGATTATGAGAGGGATATCCGACTGCTGGTTTAGGATCGGGCCTAAACTGGCAGTTGGACATCCCCCAAGGGGTCCCAGATTGGAGAGGGTGTAGGCTGGGCTGAGGGACCACCCCCCGCCCTCTGCACAAATTTCATGCACCAGGCCTCTAGTAGATATCTAAATAATTCATATCTACTGCCAAAACGTTTAATGTTTTCTTTTTTTTTTCTTTTCCTTTTTCTTCAGCTAAGACAGAAGAGGTGATTTATTGTACACGTTACATTCAGCCACAGAGAACAGAACCACCACCGTGCTGGCCAGCCATGAGTGGGCTTCCGGCTGAGCGGAGCTCCCCCTATGGAAGTGTACTGACCACCAGGGGGCAGCTCCTGCATTAAGCGTCTGCTCCCTGGTGGTCGGTGCGTGTCAAGCAACTAGTTGTTCCCAGTCAAAGATCCAAAAGAGGCTGTTTTTGTAAGAGCAGAATGGGCCTCTCAAAAGGGGCCGCGGCGCTCAGGTGACAGGCATGTTATGTTCCAGCTCCCGCGGAGAAGCGCCAGACAGCAGGCACGCAGTCAGCCGTTGCCCGGCC